GCAGGCGCTTTGCCGCTGAGCTAAATCCCCAGCCCCAGAAATGTAGAATCTTACCTACAGATACCATAAGAACCACGACTTACTTGCACAACTCTCTGGATATACTAAGATCCACTAATGTATGCATTGTTACAGGTGAACTTCATGGTCTGTGAATTATATAGATCAATAAAAGTATTCTAGTCTTAAATGTCATGACTTACCTTCTGGACAATGCTTTTGAAAGAGAAGTAATATGTCTGTATTGAAGGATATAATATTGGCTAGTAATTCATTTTTATCCAACATGATCAAGCCTCTCATGTATAAAACATTATGCTAGATGGTAGGAAATACATACTGGTAAAAAATGAGCTTGCAATAATTATACAATTTGCTGAGTATTTAGTATATGCTACACATTATCTCCATCAGTGAGGCAGAAGTTATTTTTCCATTGTTTAAGTTGGGAAACTGAGGTTAAGAGATTTATTAGATGGCTGCCCAAGGAATACAGCTAAGACTTGAGGTCAAATCTTTTTTACTACAAAGTCTGTAATTGTATCTACTACGTTAAACAAACAAGAAAAAGAAAAAAAGACTTGGTGCAAAAATACAATAGAGTAAGGCAGGTGTGGTAGTGCATGCCTGTAACCTCAGCAATCAGGAAGATGAGACAGGAGGATTGGCACCAGTTTGAGGCCAGCCGGGGCTATCTACTGAGTTCAGGCCAGCCTGAACTAGGTAGTGAGACCCTGTCTCAACAGAGTAAACGGTGGTATTCTGAAAAGGGGCAAAATATGGAGAGAGTTTCAACATTATAAACTGAAATGCTAGAGTTGTAGTACAAGGATGGCTTTAAAATTAGCAGTGTGGAATCTGGGGCCTGAAAGTTTTCCTGACACAACTCTCATTTTAACAAAAACAAACAATTCCAAAAGGTTCATAAAATTGATAATGACCATAAGATCTAAGCAAAACATAACTTTTTGTGTAGTTGTTCTGGTCTAGGAACCCCTAGCTATGAGAACAATGGGTATATTTCAGGGGAAAAACCATTAACAATTTATGAACAAATACTTATTCTAAGTATTTACCAAGCTCTAAGCACTGTGTAGATTATGAGTTGAATAAGATACAATAAACTGCCGCCAAAGGAGTACCCATATAGGATCTGACTGACCCCAGATATGGCACACTGTACACACTATTAAGTGTCAAACTTACACTTGATATACTTTATGTACATAACTGACACTTTCCCAAGGGTGCAGGCCCAAAGAACCAGATTACTAATAGAAAGTACATTCTAAAATTCACCTTGAAAACTTTTGAAATCATTACTCTTATATATAGTCCATTATACTTTGATAGACTGGAAGAGTCTTCACAGGGCCAGAAGATATTTCTTCTTTTCCTGACTTAAAGCATTTTTAGATAACTTTTTCACATTGTTTGTGTTTGAGTAAGCCCAATACTCCTAAAATGGCACATAATTCTATAATAAAGATACAGAGATAAACTGGTATAATAATAGTTAAGAGCAATGGTACTGTACTAGGCTCCAATCCTGCTTCCTTCACCTTCTAGCTATGACTTTGGAGACTCTTCTGCTTTGTAAATCTATCTCTTCATCCATTAAATTGGATAAAAATATAAATAGAAATGTTGTGAAGACATGAACGAGTATGTGAAACATGGTCAGCACACTATTTCTTGGTATATAGTAAATCCTCAATAAATGGCAGTGATTATTGCAAAAACCCATGAATTAGGTAAGCCTAATAGCTCAGTTCATTTTCAGTTAGATAAGCATTTATCTAATTGAAATGCAGTCTCTGCTTTTCACATGTGTGTGAACAGTGTATCTAAAAAGTGCATTTTAAAAAATGTCCTGCAACATGTCCTCGTATCAGGAGGTGGAGCCAGTACCAGTTTTTCTGCAATCATTTTACAGATGGGAATGTGAAGAAGGAGGAAGATAAACATGTAGAGAGGTGGAGTTAGGTTTGATTGGAAATGAATCAGCCCATCACACAGAAAACAGCACCCACATGTTCTAAGCTATATAATGGTCACTCTCCCAATCCATCATCACCCTGCAAGCTGCATCAGGCTTTATCCTACTTGTTCCTTTGGTGAACCAGGTAAGAGAAAATTAATTCAGCTACCACTATGGATATTTAGTGCTATGCTTGACAGAAACACAGGAGTATCAGTTAAAGCAGAGATCATGCTACAGTTAGTCACTTTTTTGTATCTTTTTTTATTTTTAGTTTTTGTTTGGTTTGTTAGTTTAGCTTATTCTTGGGTCATTCTAGAATAAGTTTGTCTATGAGAAAGAATAGTCCAAGTAGAAGTTGTCTTCTTCTAGTTATTCTGTACTCTTTTCTCTGACTTTTTTCATGTCATATTTTCCCGGCCATGCAGCTCAAATAGGAAGAGGCTAGTATTATTATAGTCTCTTCATTGTTTAGTATTAATTCCTAGACTTTAAGATCTAATTACTCACTATTCAAACTGCTGCCTATATTACTGAGCTTTTCTCCCTGAGACCAGTGAAAACGAACAGTATTTGATTAAGTGCTGAGATTAGGACAGTTCCTGAGCTCTGATAAGGGCTATCTCATGCCTCTGAAGTACTAAGAAACTGTTAGCCCACTTTGCCCATTTTTTATTTTCTAAAGGCCTTTAGGATCTAATTCAGGTTCTGATACCAAAAGGTTCTATACCAAAACAGAATTCAGGTTCTATACCAAAACATAGATGTCATGGAAGAATGCCTGTCACTTTTGACCAAAGGAAAAAAAAAAAAAGCAGCAGTAAAACTACAAAGACAGATTAGGACAATGATGTCTGCACAGTTCTGATAACTTTCGAAGCCCTAGGACAACACCCAAAACAACAAACCACCCAAGACATTATACAAGACTATATTTGTTTAGGACAAGAAATATGGAGATCTGATACCTAGTCCCAGTTGGGCCAATAATATGCCATGACTTAATCTTAGCAAAGTAATTTAAAGTTAGTAAACTTCATTGAGTTGAAAGGTATAAATCCCTAACCCATCTTATTTACTGAGTTTTAAAAGAGAAAAGAGGTTTGAAAATTGTATTAAAGATGACAACTGTTGATAAAAGAAAAGAAAATGATGGTAGAATCTCCTCTCTCTCTCTCTAGGTTTACTTAAATTTGAAAAAGATGACAGACCTCTTAAGAAGTGTTGTCACCGTCATTGATATTTTCTACAAATACACCAAGCAAGATGGAGAATGTGGCACATTGAGCAAGGATGAGCTAAAGGAACTTCTAGAGAAAGAGTTTCGTCCAATTCTGAAGGTAAGGACCATGTGCTAGGACTGAAAGCTACTGGGGTCCTGTAGATGCTCTGTTATAGGACAAGATGAGCTAAATATACACAGCCCCAGTGGTCTTGGAGAAAACTTTATGAGTAGTATTTTTGGGACATAATAAAATCTGTTGAGTCAGCATGTATCTTTAGAAGCATTAATAAGTAATACTTTAATGAAACCTTACAATTTATAGGGTACTCAAATGGCTACATTATAAAATCTATCATAAAAATTAGTAAAAGGTAGGATACATTATAAGACTGATACAATGGCAGTAGCAGCTTTGCAAATATTTATCTATATAATTTCCATAGTACTTTTCTTATGAACCTTTATCTCACAACATGAGTCAAATCATTTGGATTACACTGAAACAGCCAGGCATGGTGGTGCATGCCTGTAATCTCAGCACTTGGGAGGCTGAGGCAGGAGGATCACTGTGAGTTTGAGGCAGCCTGTAAACAGTGAGTCCAGGCCAGCCTTAACTACATAATGAGACCTGTCTCAAAAAAAAATTATACTGAAGCATATATTTTTTAAAAGGTGAATTTTTTTTACTCAATTTCTTATGCACTCCCACCTTATAAACACTCAAACTTTCTCATTTACTCAGGATTCCACTTCTGAAAAAGCAAAAAATAAATCTGCTAAAACATGAATTAATAAATTATCCTATCACACTGGAGGGAGGGTGGAAAGGGATATCATCTACAAGGGGAGAACAAAATAGCTGAGATAATTAAAAACTGAAAATAAAGTATAAGCATTTTTCCAACAAGTTGGGGAGGGTTCAGGTATTAATTGCAAAATAATAGGTACTAACATAGTATGTATTAACATAAATGTTTAAAATTTCTGCAAAATTAAGATATATAAGTTGCTCCACTCCTTCCTATATGCTATACCTGAGCATTTAATCCTTTTGCTTATCCTTGAAATGTCTTCTAAGGACCCCAGGAGTCTTTATTTTCTACTACCACTTCATATTTTCTAGGTCCTATTAACCCAAAGCAATCCTTGATTTGGACTAAAATTACATAATATCAAATAGATACAAATTCATACCCCCACTTGGATGTTTCAGCAGAGAATATGGGCTAGATTAACTAGATCTCCCTTGATGTGTCATTCATATACAGAACCCAGATGATCCAGACACAGTGGATGTCATCATGCATATGCTGGATCGAGATCATGACAGAAGACTAGACTTCACTGAGTTTCTTCTGATGGTATTCAAGCTAGCTATGGCCTGCAACAAGGTCCTCAGCAGAGAATACTGCAAAGCTTCAGGGTCAAAGAAACATAAGCGTGGTCACCGACACCAAGAAGAAAGTGAAACAGAAGAGGAAGAAGAGGAGACACCAAAACAGAAATCAGGTTATAGGCATTCAAGTTGGAGAGAGGGAGATGAGCACGGTTATGGTTCTGGGGGTTCAAGGGGAACTGCAAAACGTAGACGTGGGTCCAACTCCAGGAGGCTGGGAAGGCAAGGTGAATTGTCCAGCTCAGAAGGATCTGAGACAAGTCACTATGGCTCTAGCTATGGTCACTCCTGGAGTAGCAGCAAAGAGAGACATGGTTTGAGCTCTGGAGGGCTAGGAGAAAGAAGAAGCAAGTCACATCATAGCCCCTCTAGGGAATCTGGGGAGGAACATGAATCTAGAGCTGAATCAAAGAGCAAGGGAAAGAAAAGTCACGGTGGTCTTTCACAAAATGAACATGAACCAAATTCTACTCAGACAAGAAAGAGTGGAGGACAAACACCTGCCTCTACCTCTGCAGGTTTAGAAGGCAGCAAGGGACAAAGTCATGCATGTGGATATAGCAATTCTGGTGAATGTAGAAGACCACAAAATGCTTCTAGTTCTTGTCACCCAAGTGGATCTGGAGGTCAAGGAAATCAATCTAGCTATAACCAGTCAGGTTGTCAATCAGGAAACAGTAGAGAATATGGTCAGGGATGTATCTCAGGGGGTCATTCCTCTGTATGTCCTCAATCTGAGCCTAGCTCCTGTAGGCACTCTTCTGGTCAGAGAGGATACAGACATAGACAGTGTGGTCAGCCACAGAACTGTGGAGGACAACAGAGAATACATTCAAGTCAGTCCTCTTGCTATGGACAACAAGGCTGTGGCTCAGGTCAATCTTGCTGCAGACAACATGGGTCTGGATCAAGTCAATCCACTGGTTATGCTCAGTGTGGGTATGGTACTGGTCAGTCCTCTTCCTACGGACAACAAGGCTGTGGCTCAGGTCAATCTTGTTGTAGACAACATGGGTCTGGCTCAAGTCAATCCACTGGTTATGGTCAGTGTGGGTATGGTACTGGTCAGTCCTCTGGTTACGGACAACAAGGCTGTGGCTCAGGTCAATCTTGCTGTGGAAAACATGGGTCTGGATCAACACAGTCCAGTGGTCACTGTGTATCCAGCTCAGGTCAGTCCTCTGGCATTGGACAACATGGAACAGGACACTCCTCAGTCACAAGACAAAACAGATCAAGCGCAAGTCACTATTCAGGCAGGGAACCAACTAGTTCTACTTCAAGTCAGTCAACAAGCTCTGAACAACATGAGTTAGGCACAAGCAAATCACACTCTGGTCCACAAAGGAGTACTTCAGATCACTCTTCAAGGAATGAACAACATGGCTTAGGTTCTGAAGAAAATTTGGGATCACATCAGACTCACACAAGATCCCAACAAGGAGAAGCAGGATTAAGGCCTCAAGGGAGACAGGGAACTCCTCATGAGCAGGCAAGAGACACCACCAGGCACTCCCAGTCACAAAGGGGACAATCCCCTCAGTCTGGCAGGGCACCCTCTAGGAGAAGGGCCCCATTGACCAGTGAGTCCAGCGGCACTGAAGAGCACTCCGAGTCCTCACACACACACTCAGAAGCCGCTCAGGCCCAGCCTGGCTCTCAACATGGTCAGTCGCCATCCAGACCTCAGGGAAGACAGCAAACTCCAAAGCAGCAGTCCAGAGATACCTCGAGATATGGCCAGCAAGCTCATGGACAGTCCCCACAGTCTGCCTCAGGAGCACCTGCCAGAAGGGCACAGTCTCACAGCCAGGCCAGCGATACAGAGGAGCATTCCCAAGCCCCACAGGGACAATCAAGGTCTCCTCAGCGCCACACCGGGTCTCAACATGGAGAGTCAGGATCCAGGCCTC